TTTATTTTATTTTTTTTTATTAATTTTTTCCATTTTATATATAAGCACAAGCCTATTTCTTCACTTATCTATCTACAACATTTTTTATACATTTATCTCACTTCTTTCATACATATTTTACGTAACATTCTGAATGTGCCCAATTTTATAATTCTAATGTAAATATCAACAAATGAATATGTTACAAATTTCATAAGCCTTTTATTTCAGATTTTTGAAATTCCATCTAAAATTGTTTGTCCACGGATCAAACGAAACAAAAACCGTGAAAACAATTCGACGGAGTCACAGTTAGAGTCGAAGTCGTAGTCGTAGTCGGGAGTGGCATGATTAAAGCGTTTTAATGAGAATGGGGAATATTTTTAGAATCAACATCATCAGCAGCATCTGGGGATGCGAGAGAGCGGAGAAAAAAAAACCCTATGGGATGAATGAATCAAATGCTGCTTCAGTTGCGACGCCTGCCTCAGAAATTTCATTGAAAGCCCAACGACATTTTCACGTGCCGACAGAATGTGGCTCCGACTGACGTCAGTGCCGCCGTCGCCGTCGTCGTCGTCGTCGTTGCCTTGCCATTGCCCCACTGCCGGCTGGCTGACTGGCGAGGTTGGGGCAGATGGAGCAGTGTGGGCGGGTCATCCTTTAGCTTGCGCTTTGGCAGCCGTAAGACACCATTCTGCCGCCCGGGCCCAGACCCGTCAGCGATCCAGCTTTTATTGTACACACGCTTATGCGTTCACTAATTACATTCTTGGCATAGTTTCAGTTCTAACCGAATAAAATTATTTTCAGCGACTCAAACCCCGTCAGTGCACAGCACAGCCAGCCAAGCATACGCATATTGCCGGATCCGGCGCACAAACTCCGGGCTGCTGCTGCTGTTGCTGCTGCTGCTGTTGCTGTTGGTGGTGAGGTTTGTTCGTTCGTTCGTTGGGTCGGTCGTTCAGTCAGTCGGTCGTTTGTTCGTTCATTGGCAGCGCCGTGGGTACGGTTAAGAATTACTAGCACAAGGAGCAGACACACACACACACACAGACAGACAGAGACACAGCGACACATACACACATACACGCAAAGACACACAGCCACCCAAGCAACCCACCACCTTTTGAATGCCAGTTGAACGTCAGCTAGGGAGCAAGTCAATGAAGCTGCACGAGACGGAACCAGTTTTATATATGGAACAAAGACAACAAGAGCTATGGAACCAGGAAGTTCATATATATAAACTCGTATAAGTATGTATATGTATATATTTACAGCTATTGTAGTTAGTTTTGATATTTTATATAACATTTGAGAGTTCATTTGACTGGTTCATATCGACAGGTTTCAAAGCTAGCATTCTGTTTGAGGGACATAAAAGACAAGAATACAATGCATATACCTAAAAAATATATAAAATGTTAGAGTCAACTAGTTGATAAAATATTCAATACAACGTAATTCTTATATATTCGTTCACGTAGTTCATTTGACTGGTTCATATTGACAGCTGGCAAATTTTGTATTATGAGTATTATAAGTTTTCTATGCATGAATATCTATGCATGAATATCACAATACCTACGATGCTTATATAAGTGAACTGGTCTTAGTGAACTAGTTCATATGAATGTTAAGCTTTGCATATTTATATTTTTATATGTCCATATAAGATTGTATTTAATTATGTATGTCTGTCAATTCTGTCAAGATAGGTTCTTCCCACCAGTAAACTGGTTCACATGACTTGTTCCGAAATTTGCATTTAATTGCAAAATGTTGCCTAAAGCTTAATAAGCGCATACCATATATATAAATATATCTATATGTGAACTAGTTCATTGAACTAGTTTCAAAATATTTCATGAATCAAATATTAATTACTTATACATTTACCCATCTGATTATTGCCTCTGTGCACAATTTATACAATTCATGCAGCTCATATGACTGGTTCGCATCACAAGTTCCAGCCATTGTTGTGTAGCCCTATCCACAAATAGATGCCAAGTAACGTACCGAGTCCTCAACGGCTTTACCCTCACACAAACTCACAACCTCACGCCCTCACACACACTCACACACACACACACACACAAGCGCGAACAATATGCATATACTTAATATGAATAGGAAGAGCGAAGCATTTCAATTTCTTTACGCTTTAAATCTTTGCAAATCGATGGGCCATGGCCCAAAAAAAGGAAGAGGCAGAGCGGAATTCAAATGGAATTTATGGCAAAACTTTATGTGCGACACAAATATACAAAGTTGTGTGTCTCTCTCACGCTCTCGCCCACTCTCTGAGTTTCTCTCTTTCGCTCTCTCTCTCTCTCTCTCTCTCTCTGCCTCACTCTCTCTTTGTCTCTGTCTCTCTGTCTCTTAGAGCATTACTTTAATTATAGAGCATTGTGAGCAGAGCATTGTGTTTAGCCTGCATGACTAATGGAAACGAATCACGTTAAGTGTTTCCTAATGACACGAACGTTTTCCTTTAAACTGAAATCGCTGGGAGTGCAAAGTTTTAAATTCATTAACATCGTATCTGGGTTATCTGCAATACGTTTTAAATCAATCAGAACGAAAGCACAGCAGCAGCAGCACCAGCAACAGCACCAGCAACAAGACGACGACAGTTGAAATCATTGACATGTGTCAATTGAATTGTTGCTATCGAGTAACAAACGACAAAAGTTAATTCATGCTGACCCCACTGGGGGCTATATTGCAGTTCACAATTGTTTAATTGATAGCCATTGAGTTGACAAAGATGACAATGATGATCATGATGATGATGATGATGCTGACACAGGTGCTGGCTGCACTCACTTCGATAATTGCTCCGAGTGTAAACTCGGACATTTCAGCATTTATTAAATCAAATGAAAAATTTTCAATTATTCAATTTCGGATTTATTACACAAATATTTGAGTACCAATTCAATGCGAGGTGACAAATTATAAGGTAGAATAAGACATAAACTATCCGAGCTTAGCCTAATTGAAGAAGGAAGGATACCACTTGCGATAACTCTATTTGATCAAATGCCTCAGTTATCGATAAGAGGGAGTTAGTGAAATATTTAATATGATTTGTCATTTGTTTAGGAATCTGAAATATTGCTGAATTTGGTTTTTGCGGCCTATTGAAAATGTCTTTAATTCTATAAAAGTTCGCTTTTGCTCATATTAAATTTTTTGTTTAGTTGAGTTATCATGCTCCCTCCCATCCTACAAATACTTGTGTATGCAAGTCATATACAGCAATAGCACACAAAATACACATACACATACATACACACCTACATTTATACCCATTAAAAACTGTGCTCATATTTAAATGTGACAAAGGTTAATCAGTCAATTGAAGTGGCATTGCTTTGCATATTATTAGACAGATATGTACATACATACATATATATGTATATATACCACATAAAAATATCAGCATAGTATAGTCAGATCTATATAGATATAGATGAAATAGTATATGAATTTAACTGAAGGAATACTTGAATAGAATTAAGGCGCTATAGATGACATTGAAGACGGTGCTGAACACAGAAAATGATATTTTTATGCACGCAAAAGAGAAAGTCAATAATATAATTATCAAATCTCTGAATGAAATTAATTTTCTTTTTTTTTTTTAAATTTTGTATATAGTATTCAATTAATTTAGGGAACTTTGAACTTTTCGGCAGTCAAAAAAGTTTCTCAGAATTTAACTTTTTCAAGTCAAGAATATATAGAAATGGATATCAAATAAAATAATATTAAAATCAAAATAATAGATGATATAATATAATAGAAATATAATTACTATTTTTATT